TAATAATCATTTTATTTAAAAAGTGCCTTTCAGGACACCCAAGGGCACTTACAGCAGTATACACATAGAAGAATGTGTGAAAATACAGTTAGAGACAAGCAGGCATAAGTGACAGAGAACTGTTTACAAATGAAGTTCAGATGAATACGCTAATCTAAAGAGATGTGTTTTCAAAGCAGTCTTGAACACAGGAAGAGAGGTGGTGTTTCTTAGGTCAGGTGGTAGAGAGTTCCAAAGGAGAGGTGCAGAGCAGGAGAAGGCCCTGCTTCCCATGGTGGAGAGGCAGGCAGTGGGTACTTGGAGGTTTAGGGAAGAAGAGGATCTGAGAGAGCGGGAGGGGATGGAGATGTGTCAGGGTTTCTCCTACATGTAATTGATCGTGGCGCATCGCCACGGCAAAAATCATAGCCGCCACACTTTCAGAATAAATATTTATTTATTTAGTTCAAACCATCACTTCCATCAATCCTAATGGGCAACGTGAGATCATTAGCTAACAAAATGGATGAACTTCAAGCCCTGACAAGGACTCAGGAAGAGTGTAGGGAATGCAGTATTATGTGTTTCACTGAGACATGGCTGCAGGATCATGTCCCTAATGTCAACATCTCTCTGCCAGGCTTCCAGACTATACAAGCAGACAGAGATTTAAAGAGCAGTGGGAAAAATAAAGGAGGTGGATTAGCAGTGCTTGTCAACAACAGATCTTGTCATCCAGGACATGTTACTGTGAAGTTTCGTCACTGCAGTCCAGACATTGAACTCTTGGCAGTAAGTTTTCGTCCATATTATTTACCAAGTGAGTTCACCAGTGTTATTTTGGCAGCTGTTTACATTCCACCCTCAGCTGTTGCTGACAATGCATGTGAAATCATCAGTTCTGTTGTTGCTAAGACACAGACACAACACCCCAATGCATTTGTGGCAATATCTGCGGATTTTAATCATGCCTCACTCTCTTCTACACTGCCAACATTTCAACAGTTTGTCAGCTGCTCTACCACAGAAAACAAGACAATGCAAGACCTCCTCTGGGTAATTCAGATCACAACCTTGTTTATCTCTGCTCAAACTATAAACCACTTGTTCAGAGACAATCTGTAACTACAAGGACTGTGAGAAAGTGGTCACAGGATGCTGATAAAGCCCTACAGGGATGTTTTGAAACTGCAGATTGGATTGTTCTTTGCCAGCCACATGGAGATGACATAAATGCCATGACTGAGTGTGTGAATGACTATATAAACTTCTGTGTGGACAACACCATCCCCAGCAGAACAGTGAGTTGATTCCCTAATAACAAACCCTGGATCACCAGTGAGCTAAAGGAACTGTTAAACAAGAAAAATAAAGAGACTTTAGGGATTGAGACAGCGAGATATTGAGGAGTATACAGAAGCAGCTCAAAGTCAAGATCAGAGACAGCAAGGGGATTTATAGAAGGAAGCTGGAGAG